CGGGGTGAGCTGCAGCCTGCCAGAGCCTTCCTGGGAGGAGAGGTATGGCTTCTCCAAAATGATCGAGCATTCTTTCAAAGCAGCAAACACCTAAAGCTGGGGACGTGGTGTGTTGGGGGTTTACTTCCACCCCGTACGAACAGAAGATCCAGGGCTCGTTTGCCTGGAGTCTGGCCTGGGGAGGGGATAGTGGAGAAAACAAATACAATGTTCTGAGAGAAAAGGAGCAGATAATAATTGCCATATTGACAAGCAAAAAGTGATAGTCTATTTGCAGTCCTGGACCTCGGGGTAGTTGGCACTGGGTGCTTTGGAAGCAGCTCCAAAAACCCTAGGTAGGCAATAGCTGCAACTTATCCAGCTGTGGGGTGCTGTTCCCCATGGTTGCAGAGAGTCATTTATGAGTGCTTGAATCATATCAGCCTCACCTCTTTTTTGAGGACTCTTTTTAGGGTATATGTATACACACACACACACACATACATAAATATATATATATGTTTGTTTTTTTTTAAAACCAGCTTTTATATGTTTTATTCTTGCTTGTTTTGCTTTTCATATGAGTAGTGGCAAGTTCTGAGGTTTATCTCTAAACTACTTCTGTGTGGGTGGCTGGGTCAGTGAGAATGGGCAGCTTGCAATTCCCTCCTGCTGCACACAAACTGCATTTCACTGTGGTTCCCTGGGAGTCTGGGTGTTCACAGCCAGCCCTGGTGCAGAGCCCACACGAGAACAGTCCTGCCCATGAAGTAGCTGACAGGGATGTTATGCCATAGGAGTCAGGAGTCGAGTAGCTCTGGGCACTGCCTTACTGTTCTGCTTTCCAGGTTAGCAAATGCAGTGACACCACTGTGGAGACTTCCCTACCAGGAGCAGCTGCAGGTAAGATGAGTTTGCACAGATTTTTCTCTGTTGTGTTGCCCCAGCTGTCCCTCCTATCCCCTTGAACAGTAGCCCTTAGCAGCATAATGCTGCAAACTGTTCAGACCCCATTTACTGCTGTTTTAATCCTGTTGTTGTGAAGGATAGAACTGGGAGGTTCCTTGTAGTACAGAGGATGGGCATTTGCACAGTGATCCTGGCCTCTGTGGGACTGCTCTGCTTCACTGGGGCTTCAGGTTAGACAAAATGTTGTAGGCCAGTATTTGGGGACCACAGACACGATTTTTCTTTCTTCCTGTTTCTCCAAGCAGCTGTGGTAGTGAAAAGGGAAGAGTTCCTCTGGGGCTATATTTTCACTTGCAGTTTTTCCTCCTGTTGGACTCCCCAGAGGTGGGTGATGAAGAGCTGCCCACCACTGTGTGGTCCCATGAGAGTGTTTCTGCCTCAGAACTCCTCTGCAGGTCAAGTATGAAAGCCAGAGGAAGATTTTGCAGACATTGGCATCTCGTCTTGAGGAGCTGGGCATAGATGCACAGAAACCTGGTGGGCTCTGCTGTCCTCTGCAGCCTGTAGTCCCTTCGGTGAGTGTGCCATGGGAGTGCTCTTCCCTCTGAGCCACGAACAGTCTCTCACTCAGCAGCTCAAGAGTCTCATGGGGGGCATCATTTGCCTGCAGAGAGTGTCTGAGTCAGTCCTTGCTACCTTGTGCTTTGCAGCTTGTGACTGCCCGAGAGTGAAATAAGCCCAGTGTTTAGGAACCCTTTCTTTGTGCCTAAAAGGCCTCCCTGTTAAACCTGTCACCATTCTGTCACAGAGAGCTACTTTTGTCTCCAAGGGGCAGTACTGGGGTTCTTGTGCACAAATTTTGTTTCTGTGTTTTGCCCATTCACGTACACCTTCCCATGTTGGCAACAGAATAACCAGGCTGGGGTTTGGCTTTCCTCCCTTGTTTTTT